ATTGCTGTGAAAAAAAGCAAAAACAAAAACAAACAAACAAAAAAACCCAAACCAACTACCCTAATAACCAGGTGCCTTCAAAAAGACAATTGACTATTATCTTGCACTGCTCTGTGCTTTGCCAGGGCTCAGCTGGAGAGTGACTGCAATGAAACAGCATCTGGGGCTGAGTTGGATGAAGGCTGGCAAGTCTGAATGTCCAGCAGCCTCCTCACTCCCATATATAGTGCCTACAGTGGGGCCTCACCCAGGAAGACGGTCTTAAGCTATCTGTGCTTCTTATATGGTGGTTGGCTTTCAAAAGGTTTCTAGTCCCCCTAAAGACAGGTCTGGAATTGGCATAACATCACTGCATTATATTAGTCAAAGTGGTCACAGGCAAGCCCAAATTCAAGGTGGGGTTGGGGAGAAAAGGCTCCACCTGTCAATATGTGGAATGCATACTTGTGCAGTTATCTTTTCCAGGACATGTAGGATGAAAATGTAGAGATGTTTATGGAACAATTATGAGCCTTTTTTGGATCTTCAGAGAGAAGTTAGAAGTAGAACTGTGAATGGGAAAATTTTATCAAAACCAGGGGAACAGGGGGGTAAGATAAAGAAGGTGAGAATGGAAAAAGAATGACATAGCACTAATTAAGAAGTGGAAGCCAATAAAGGAGAGGGTAGATTGATAAAGCCAGTGAAGAGCAAATCAACCTGAGGAGACAAGAAGGGTAAGAGTGTTAGGAGTGATGAGGGTACAAATGCTGCCTGCAAATTGGGAAGGATCTTATCAGAGGATGTGGTAATTGGAAGTTTAGGAGATGCCAGTGACTTGAATGAACATTTACAGTCACATTGACCAGGGAGAGAAAGACTTTGTGGTATTGAGATATAAGGAAGCAGGAGAAAGCATACAGTGGAGGATGGCAGGCATCAGTTAGGTGTGCCACCCTGAAAGATCTGACTTTGCCAGGATGGAGAAGGGAGGGAAAGGGAAGCTGTTTTCCCAGCCTGTTTGAAAGGGTGGGTTGGGAGAAGGAAAGAAGAGAAGGAAAACATAGAGAACAAAGAAAGGACCAGTAGAAGAGAGGTACAGAAGAGGTATTTAGCTTTAGAAAGGACTGGAGATGCTGGATGATACCGGAAGAAACATGGAGAATGGAATTTGGCAGTGGAGGGGAACTAACAGTAATCTTCAAGCTTTCTGTGAAGAGAGAATTAAACCACTTCATCCTGGTAGAGATCTTGGGATTTTCCACCTGTAGCCTGTTATATGCCACTCTTTCTGAAAAATCTTTTCCATCTTTGCTTGTATACTTTCTCCCTGTAGTTTGAGCCCTTTCTCCCAGGTTGCCCTCCTTGATTCAACCAGCTAGAATCAAGGGTTCTTTCACCTCAGAACATCTATCAAATATTTCTTTAACTTCTAATTCCATGTATTTATTTCCATCCATTATTTAGTGGCAGTTTCTCTTTCTTTCTAAGCTTTCTCTAAATACATTTTAAAAAGAAGGAGGAGGAGGAGGAGGAAGAGGTAAGGGATATGGAGGGATATAGGTTTGATATGAAGAGTGTTGGTCATTGGTAATGAGTACACAAAACTGGAGAGGGTTTGGTAGAACTGGAGATGAGAAACATAAAAAACTGCAGAAACCAACTTTCATCTAGCTTTAGCATTTTCTTCATTATTTTGGTTCTAATTGTTGATTAAGAAATTATGTAGAATTAAAATAATTTAAGAATTTATAATTTACTTATTTATGAAAAATTCTAAAGATAAAGAAAATTATAAAGGTAAACAGTCTCAAGCAGGACAGGACTGGGTCATGCTCACTAACTTTAAAAAAAAAATCTAGTCATATTAAATGATACTTAAATCTCCATCTTTTAATATTTAGATAGTCATGAACTATCCTTTCCATCTTCTTTTTTTGTATAAATTGCCTTAGAGAAACTGGTTTAATTGTTTTACAATTTGAAGATTTTACATAACATTATTTTCAGCTAACACTTCTCTTTTATAGACACAAAAATTACTTGACAGAAAAATAGTATGAATTAAGAGTTGAGTGTGTTAGCATAAATAATATAGTCAACTAAGTCAAAGATAATTATGAAATAAAAGGTGAAATAGACCATCTTTTTTTTGGACACAGCCTAATATTATAGTGTTATTTGTACTGAACAAGAAGCATGCCTCCTTGTATCAAATCATAAAATATAAAAGTCTAGAATAGCCCTTGGCCTGTAAAAAACAGATTTTAACTGTGTGTTTTTACCATGTCCTGGTTTTAATAGAAAACAAAAGATGCATGGTAAATGGAATTCCCATGTATTTTGTTTTCTTACAAACTAAAATATAAGCCCTTTGAGGAGAGGGAGTATATCTTTCAAAAGTCCCTGTGCCTGGTGTAAGCGTTTCCTGAAGTGATGGAAGGTGAATAAATGAATGAATAGATGAAGCATGGGTATTGAAGTAAGCTTTATTTGAATATAATCTGAAAAATTCTAAAGCAAAATTATAAACCAGGATGTGAGTAATACAGTGAATATAATATATAAATATCCATCCTAGGTTCTATATTATATACAATAATTGTGCAAGCATAAAACTTACACATCAATGGAATGGGCAACTGGGACACCCAATACTGAGAGAATGTTGATAAAATTATGTAAAACATTTTCCAATATGGTAGAAAAAATATATTAAATATTTTGAGATAGTCCAGATTAATCTTTGCTATAAGCAGGTAAGTTTTTGTGAAAAAAAAGTTTTTAATGAATATAGGCTTCCATCAGACAGCATTCTTTCCCTCCTTTTACCCCTAACTCAAGAAAAAACTATTTTGTACCTAAGAGCAAGTCTGATGGATATAGATAAAATGAGCAACAATTTTCATTTGAAAATTGTTTTATGATTTCTAGAGCTTATAATTTGGCTCAATCACAGTAAGAAATAGATATTAAAATGGATATTTTAGAGTATATTATTAACACCATAAAGAAAATATCTTAGAAATAGAACATTTCATCAATGTTTAGACTCTTTCATTTGAAATAGGTAATCTGTTTGATTTTATTCCATAGAGCAGATTTATGATATCTGGCTTGGAATATTCTATGTAGGCTAATAATTTCACTTCCATGATTTGGAGTTCTAATTGGATCATAAATTGTCTGCTGAGGCTACTCTGTAAATAGAGTCTAGCTGCTTCTTTTGATAGTCTGAAGGAAGAGGAGGACAAGTCCTCCAAAGACATTAAATCTTTCTCAAATAGTGGTTACAAAATTGTAACTGAGATATAAATATGTGTGCATACCCTTATATAAAGTAACACCCTTATTAGCTCTGTTGATAAAAACCATTATTAGCTCTGTTGGTTTTGTCCTTTAATTTGAGAAACAAAGGCAATGATAAAGAGGAAAATAAGACAAAGCCATACAAATTGGACTTCAGAGAGACTAAGCCATCTGTTCATCAGATTGATAAATTACTATGACCAAGGCACCATGGGAGAACTATTCATTAACATATAAAGGCAGTGCAAACTCACAGGGACCCTAAGCCAAGTGGCCTATAAATCTACAAATCATATCCATTAGAACAGAAAACATAAAGAAGAAATCTGTATTGACATACATTGATTGATTGATTGATTGATCACAGTGCTGGGAATTGAACCCAAGACATTATGCAGGCTAGGCAAATTCTTTATCACTGAGCTACACACTCAGTCCTGTCATATATTATTTTAAGGTATTTTTCACAAGCAAGGATTTAAAGATATTTATATATTATATATACATATATACCTATTATATATATATATTCTTTATATATATTCCTTTAAAGATATACATATATATCTTTATATATATGTATCTTTCATATATGTACAAATATATCTGTGTGTATATGTATATACATACACACACACATATATATATATACACACATATACATATATTTGATCAGGATGATTTTTAAGATGTGTGCATATATCTCCATGTATACATATCTATATCTGTCTATATACATACACATAAGATGAGATGGTCAGAGTTTTTAATTTAATAACTGAAGTTATTAAATATTAGCAATATAATTTTCTATTACCGTTAGTAGTATCAATTATTGTTCAGAAAAGGGAAAAGCTTAAATTATTATAAATTGATATTTTTGTGCTCTCTTTGTCCCATAATATTATGTCAGTATTAGAGAAAATCAGGACAGCCATGGGTCCTGTAGGAGACTGCTCTACAAGAAGCCTGTAATTCATATCAAGGTTAAAACTTCAATGAGTTTCCATTGGCTGAATGATTGCATAAATTAATGCCATTCAGAACAGCTTTAACTTGCACAGCTGACTTAGGAAATGTGTGACTAAGCTTCTAAATTGGCATCCGAGGCGCATTTACAGGAGTTGCCTTATCTCTGCACCACTTATTGCCTTTCATCCCCCCTCACTTCCTCCCATTATCATCATCACTTTCATCACAGGCAGCTGAAGTTTCTCCTTCAAAATCAAAAGCCCTTGGAGACTAGTCCTGCTTAAAGTTATGGGTCGCTAAAAATGTTGATGATGTGGTGTCTCTCTTTCATTTCCATTTTGATTAAGTGAAAGCCTCTTAATTTGGGTCATTATTGATACATAAATCTGTAGAGAAAATGAACATGCATTTATAATGTGACCACATTACATGATTTATTGTTCTTACAACATATATATACAGAAAGGAAAAATAGAGTCCAGCTCTTAGATCCCCTGGATATGAAGCACTGACAGGGACTAATGGGGCAAATGCACATCCTCTGAGCAGATCAGCCCCTGCTCTCAATGGCTCAAGACTCATTATTTCAACTGAACTAGGTCTCCCATTAAAAAACAACAACAACAACAAATAAAAAACAAAAAAACACATCTAATATCAGTCTGTCTATTCTATTTGACTTAACTTTTTGTGGAGGGTTTGTGAGTGGTAAATGAAAGACTCAAAATGGGTTTCCATACCTGATTGTGGACTTTGTTTAGGAATTTTGGCTACCGCTTGAGGGCTGGAGGTGGAGTGCGTCCGTTGGTTGGCTGAGCTGTGGATGCTGCTGGGAACTGCAGCTGAGATGTTCTTTCGGGGCTTCATATCTTGCAGCCACATAGGTGAGGCTTCGAAGGCCTGCATCCTCCGTGCATGACTGTTGGCATTGACTTTCAGGTAGGCCTGGGCCTTGTGTTCTTGGAGCTCCCCATAATTGGCATCAGTCACCCTGCACTCATATAAACCTTCGTCCTTTTTCCTCACTTTGGAAATCTGAAGTTTGTGGGAGATGTCATTGCCTTGAACTTTCACTGTCTGAAAAATTGCAGGTAAAAAAAGTGCTGCATGAAATGATTTTGTTCTCATTCTTTATCCTGAGCTTGTTAATGTTGGAAAACTAATGGGCCTTAATGACCTCATAGCTACTGTCAAGGGGCTTTTTATTTCCTTAACATCTGATCTTAAGATCTTATTTATTTTACTCCACTAATAATGACATTCACAGACTTAGGATAATGAGGTCAGTCTAAACAGAGCCATATTATCAGTGTGGTTCATACTCTTCAGGTTCTGATAAATAGAAGTGCCAGCATTTTCTCAACATGGGACTGGATTAACTCTGCTTGGTTAACTCAGATGAATGGAGTATAAACCAATGAGGCCAACTCCATAGTTAATGCAGATTCTTTTCTTTACTGTGGGTTATAAACTAACCCCTTCAAATCTGGAAGATCACAGAAATATTTTTGTTGGTCATAACAGCTGAGATGAGAATATACTTTTATCCCCACATTGAGGTGATTACTAAAGGTACTGTTACAACAGGCCCACGCCTATTAATGTTTTTTTTTTTTTTTCTCAAAATTTTCATGTAATCTTGGTTACAGTTATTGGGTAGCAAAGCTCAGGTACTTGTTTATATCACCTAAAGTCTTATGGCTCAAAGTATGTACCAGATGCCTTTGTAGGAAATTGCAATGCCATCAATAAAACACTGATTTGATTTTCAAAATTGAAATTGACCTTTTTATTTCTTCTAATAATTTTGTCCCAGGTTTTTAATATAACAGCTATATAAAATGTATATGATACATAATAAATATGATATATTTAAATATTATTATTGGAACAGTTAGATTTAATATATATCATGTTATCCATGATTGACAGAATGATAGATTTCATAAGACATTCAGGATTTAAGGTTTGAGTTAATTTTGAAAGACAGAGAAAAGTAGTGGAGACAAGAATATAGTTATTCTGCTAGTGGCTATTGCATTTTCAAACAGCCATAAATAATTAAGAAAATTTGAGAAGTGTTATTCTGTATTTTATATAAACATATATGTATATAAGCATATATATAACAAGTAGTTTCTGACATTTGAATTATAACCATAAGTATATATTTATGTGTATACAAACTTATATATAAATATTCTAACATTATAAAATAATGGAAGTCAGTTCTACATATATTCCTGACTAAGTCTTCTAACACTTGGAGGTAGTCAGAGTATTTATATCATTATTATCCCATTTTACCATGGAGTAAACTGAGGTTTAAGAAGTTTGCTTAGTGATTCCTAACACTGATTTTTATATTAGTCAATTAGTTTTGCTTGAATTAATGCAGTTCTATGTGGTCTAGAGGTTGAAGTTTTATCAGTATTTTATAAATATTTCCCAGAAAATCTAAGTTAATAAATGTTGGTTTAGTACAGAAGTTAAGGTCAAACAGAATGTACATGGGGAACAAATTACCTTCTGCCTCAGTTCATATCTAGAACTCTTTTCAACTCAGTAGATTTTATAATCTACTAACCTAGCTATTACTATTAGCAGTTGCATAAGTGATTATGTCTCTGTATGTGTCTGAAGGCTCTTTTTGTTACTATTCTTCAGATGGTATGGTATGGGCATGAAGAGTCAGCTGTTAATATTCAATCAATAAGCTATCTAATTATATGTGTATGTACAAAGTAAAATGCTTATGAAAAACACTATTAATTGATTTTACCAGTCAAGCTTTTCCTAGCATTATAGGAAAACAACAGCTTCTGTGATGTAAGAAAAATTGAAACTAAAATATTCTAAAAAAGTTTGTGATTTTGTGAGTTATTAAGTTGTTTGATATTTCTTCCATGTTGAGATTACACAATTAGATGATAGATTTAAGTTCTGCATACAATATATTTTTATGCTTTTAGTTATAAAGTAACCCCAATCTTATGCCACTTTATGCTATCATAAGAGCTTTAATATAAATCTTTCTAAAATGTAGATTATTGAATTTTTAGATATCTAAAAATAAACAATATATTCATCCTCAGTAGATTTCTTCCTTTTGTATTATAAAACTATTTCATATCTAGTACTGAAAACTTGTTAAAGCCATTTTTCAAGGTAAGTTGTATTATTAATTAATTTACTCTGCATAGCTTCATTTGAAGTATAGCAAAAAAGATGATTTTCATTTTCTTCTCATCATATAATTATTCAAACTAATAACCAATAGGGTAAAACAATATTTTCTTAGTTTCAATAGGTCAGTCTTCTCCAGTAATGGTTGCAAATTTATATTTGCTTTTGGCTTTATATTTTTATGATTTTGAACACCAGCATTAGAACTACATTAGATACACTATGAATGACATTTAAATTTGAGTTTTTTTATTTCACTATAATTTCAAAATCTTCTTGGATGCTTTAATTTTTTTCTCTCTCTAGGAAGATTTTTGTATATTACTTTTTCACTTTCTATTAAAGGATAATCATTTCCAAAATTTAAAATGCACATTAGCATTGCAGCCCTTCACTCTTATACAACTGTTACAAAGAACAAGAAAAAAAAAGTCACACAACCTTTTTGGATACCAAAATGATTCTCTAGTTAATTTCTAGGTATTTACATGATTAATACATAATTTTACTTATGGACTCTCAAATCGCTTCAGTTTTTATGTACCTAAAGAGGTAAAGAGGAGATAACTGGCTCTTAACCTGCGTTTGCAAAATTGCTTTTTTTCAGGGACAACAAATTAAAAGGTTTTAAAATCTAAAATCCATTTACTACTAATGTTCACCTTGGGCCTGCCTAGCAGCTAAGGCACGCGCCCCCTGTAGCCTGTCCCTGTGACACTCACACTGATCTTGGTCCCGTCGTTGTCCGGCTCTCTGTCTGGTAAGAGCTCCACCTGCGGGACAAGGATGCAAATGCTCAAATTCCCACCGAGGTCTGACTCTCTTGTCCGCAGCACAGTGGTGCGGAGCCTTCCAGGCTAGTCCCAGCCTTTGTAGGTGTGTTGCAACATTTTAGTTAGGACTGGGAAGAGAAGGGACGTGGCCCCATCTGCATCTGGTCCCATGGTCGGCCCTAGACCAACCCGCCTCCCGGAGGTTCGCTGGCCTGCGGCCAAAGCCGCGCGGCTAGACCCCGCTACCTCCCAAGCGCGCTTGTCGCTGCCCAGCGCGGTCCCGGCGCCACCAGTTTCGCGGAGGCTGAGCTCCGAGAGGCGGGCCCAGTGCCCGCGGCCGGGCCAGGTCTTCCTTGCGGTTGGATCCGTCTGGGGCTTCGGGTTCCGGGAAGGTTAGGGACAGACACAAAGATGCAAAGATGGGCGGAGATGTGAATGTGGGTGGAAGTTTTCGGGCACAAATTTCTCCATCTTTTTCTGCGCTGCTGTCCCATCCCTGGGATTTATTTATTTATTTTATTTTATTTATTTACTTTTTTTACAGACTTTCTTTTTCACTCTCCTGAACGTCCGAGTCCTCTTTTGCTCAACTGCCTTTCTTCTTCGCTCTGACCCTCTTCTGTCTCCCTTTCTCCTCACTAAAATTCCTTTTCCCCTCCTTTCCTCACACTTCCTCCTTTTCTTCCTCCCTCCTCTTCTTCCTCCTCCCCTTCCTCTCCTATCCACCGGTGGCTCCATCATTCCCTCCTCCCTTTCTCCCCTCCCTCCTTCCTCCGCTCCGCATCAGCCTCTCCCTCTCCCCTACTTCTTTTCTTCCCCATTCCCTGCCCCACCCTCAACTATCTCGGTTAAAGGCAAAGGTGAGAGAAATGGGACTAGAAGGGAAGAGGGTGGTCATGCGGGCATGACCTCGGACAGGAGTTCTTCACACACACATACTGTCTAGGAAAGAGTAGCGGATGTCCTGGGATGTATGTACAGCGCTGTAGTGTCACAGTGGGCATCTTAATAAAAGCAATATTAAGAGTAGGAGGTTACTCTCCAATTTAAATCAGGAAAGGCTCCCCATAATATGACTTCCTTGGTGGTTTTAACTTATGTCGCCCAGGACAAATTCAGGCTTGTTTCCTATATGGCTGGGCGTCTTTCACGCCCCCCTCCCCAAAAGATGGGAAGGTCCCCAGGGACACCTAGGCAGCATCTTGGGCCCTGCCCCCCCCCCCAATTGGAAACCCAGAGAACTAAAAGAGTGGGACAGACACGACACGGGAGCTTTGCGGACTATGTGACTGCACTACCTGCGCTCCAGCCACCTCAGACCCAGGCTCCAGGTCCTCGGGTCCCCGCAGGAACCACCATTGGATCTCCAGGTACACCGAGGCGGAGCCGCTCTGAAAAGCGCAGGACATCTCCACATTCTGCCCCTCTGTCGCTGTCACATTCCGCGGAAACTCAGTAAATTTTGCTGTAAAACAGGAGCATATCCTTTTGGCATATATACACCACTCTCTCCAACGTTTCTTTCCTTGAGAGCTCACGTTTTTCTCGGACTTAAAAAACAGCAACAACCCGTCTATGACATCCCTGACTTTGCCTGCTTACATCCCCCACCCTCCGCCTTTCTTTGCCTCTTGCCTGTCTTATTTTTGGTATCATGACTAAATCACTTTGTTGTTGATCAAGTCCAGATAATGGAATGGCTAACAAGCTTGCCAGTAACTCTTTTAGCCAAGATGCCCAGAGTTAGATCCAAATACCCTTTGTCAGATTGCAGCATGCCATAAAACTTACTGAGATTCAGTGAGGTACAATTTAGACCATATGTCAAGTTGTTATTATGAGGAAAGCCTCTTCCCTCTAAGTTTCTAAACAGTCTATGACTAACGGAATATTTCATTTTGCAGGCTGATCATGACTCTGTCAAAATGCACATTGCTGATATGACAAAAACAGTTATTAGCAATTGTGATCTGAAGCCTACAGTAGTGAAACAAGTTGCACACTTTTTAATGTTTTTATTTCATTCTCTAGAAATTAATCTTCACATTTGTTCCTATCAAGTTATTGTATAGCTATTGCCATGTCCCTTGGAATCTAACAATCATACATCCAGGCTTAGATGAGATTGAAAAATATTTTGAAGTCACTACAGAGATTTTTTTTAAAGCCTATTCATTACCAACTGTAACACTGCCAGTTTGTCAGATTCATATATACATGGTGAAACTCACAAAAATAAAATGTCCTCTTTCTCCTTAAGGGCATGTTTTTGAACATGGGATGCTCTTGTTAACATGGTTGTTCTTATCTGTGTAAAGGACACTTTGCAAAGAGCTGATTGCTTCCGAAAAGTAGTCTTAGATTTGTGGTGGTTGGAATTGTATAGCTACAATGCACAGTTATGGAAAGGAGGGCTGAGGGAACTGCAGGGATGATTTAGGGTGTATGCACTTTACCCCCACTTTTAAAAGATAGATACTCATTTCAAAATTTTATGAAATCCCAGATTGATCTCTAGTGAAATGGAACTGTGTTTATACTTAAAGGAAATGGGAGCTATTGAGAAGGCAGTCTGATCTGAAAAGGACTTTTCTTTTCAAACTGGAAGGAGGAGTACATGGCATTTCTGCTTGCAGAAGTGATGCAGTCTTCTGGCAGCAGAGATGTGATCTGTTCATGGTGCTGAAACGACCACTGCAGCCTGCAAAGTCCTGAACAACTGGATTCAGCAGGCTGCTGCAGCTTGTAATGCAAGTCGTGCCTTTTTTTATGGGTCCTCAGAGGAGTCTGTCCTTTGATAAACACACATGCAAATGAAGTCACACAGACTCAGAAAAGGAAAACTCTAAACCCTTTCTGCCTGCAAGGGAAAGCAGGACTGATGATGGAAAGTCCCCCAATATCCAGTTCTGTTTGTGGTGATTATGTATGCATGAGTGGTTATCCTGTGCATGTACACAGAAAGTACACACACACACACACACACACAGCCCTGTGTTTGTGTTCACTGAGGAACTCACCTCCTTGCCAGGCACCAAGTGTATAATCTCTGAAACCTCTCATGCCTATGATTTAATAAACTTTAAAGAAAAATATCAAACAGAATACTATCCATACAATCTAAACCCACTGTTACTTGCTAAGAATCTCACTATATCTTCCTGTACATGCTTTGAATATAAGGAAAACAACACACACACACACACACACACACACACCAGATGTATATTTGCCATTGAGCACAGACTTACCTTGAGAAGAAAGCCCTTGTTGTACGTATAAAACGGAAAAGAAAACAATTCCAACATATGCCAAAAAGATCCCCATCATTCCAAAGTGGGGGGGTCACATCAGTGTAGCCAACAGCCAAAAAGCCCTAAAAGAAGAGAATGCAAGCGTATCAGAAGGCTCTGTTTCAGAGCCCTGGGCGCGACACTGCAAACATCCTATCCTGCTGCTCGCTCCGCGGGTGAAGACTGGCTTTGGGGAGAGGGGAATGCAATTCGCGAAGGTTAAAACCAGATGGCTAGGATTCCTGAGGCTTCTAGTGCAGACCCAGGCTTCAAACGCCGGGAAGTGTCTCCGCTGCTGGCTGGCTGCTTTCAGCTACCTGGCAGCTTGTCCAACGTCAGCCCGCTGCTCCAGCTTGCGTGATCACTGCCCTCCCTAAACACCGAGCCAGCTCGGGAAGCGGGGAGTGGGCAAGGGGGGCGGGCTGGAGGACTTCGCTGGGCTCGCGGCGCCGCAACTTTTCCCTCTAATGGCTGCGATGATGCCTTTAACTCTCTGCGTGCTGGAAAGCTCCGCACCTGCGGGAAGCTTGGGCCGGGCAGCCCGCAGAAGGCTGAGGGCTGGGCGGCTCCATCTGTGTTTCCCTTCTAGAGAGCAGGGACATTTATTTTTTCCCAATTTGCTTTTTCTCCCCATCAGTTGAATCTTTTTGTCTGGATCTGATGGCTTACTGCTGAAGAAGACAATACAGTTGGAGGGTTGCAGTGTTTGCTTGGGGCTAGGAGTGAGGGATTTGAGGAGGAAGTTGAAGCATTGTTGAAGAAGAGGGAGGAATGGGATGGGGTGGAAGAGACTGCTTCGGGGCGATGAAAACAGCCATTTGAGGGAAATGTCGCTTAACCAGTTATTAACTGCTCTAACTAGAATGATCACATGCTATTATTTCACAAGAATTTATTGCTGCACAGCCTCCAGTTGGAAGACAAGCCTTTCATGCAGGCACCATATCACTCCAGCTGGTAAACCAGAGAAGAAAAGTATAAAAAGTCACGTATTGAGAGAATTTCAAGAAGAAAAAGCCCACCATATTATGTTTATTATTTTTTATTCATATATCCTCTGCCTTCCCTCCCTCTATCGCACAGTATCTTGGAGTGGGGGGGGGGTTCAATATCATTAAGGTTTTCACGACATGATTTATGTCTATTTTGTTCACTTTCTTCTCTTTTGTATAGCAATAATTTTGTAAGGTACCCCAGGATTATATGAATATGAAATATTATTTGAGGCAGAAAAACAGTTTTAGAATTTTTAGCAAATATAGTTTTCTGCTCTGACAAAGTTTGAGAAGTATATTCTATTTTTCAAATGAAAAATCTAAACAACAGTATATATCCTATTAGATTGAGATTCTATTTGCCCTTGTGAATTCTAACCATTATTGAGTTTGAATCTTTAACAAAATTGAACATCATGTGCTATCAAAGGAGAGTGTAATTTTTTTAAAATTCCAATTATTATTTCTGTGTAACAATATCTCCAATCTGTAGTATAAGTTGGAAATATAAGTTAATATTAGCAATGCTGTCCAGAAACCAATGCAGTATATGTGAATTCATTAACAGATAAAGAATTTGCAGTTGGCTAATGCGTTTATTGGCCAGAAACAAAAATTAACCTTAACATAGCTTTTGGATTTTAAAACCACTTCTACTGCTGAAAGCAGCAGAAACTTAAATTTCAGAAAACTAAGACACAATAACTTCGAAACAATGTAATTTATTTTCTGAAACTACATTTATTTTCTACCATAGGTAGAGGCAGAACAGGAGACTTGGAGACAGTCATGGAGATATTTTGTATCTGTTGACGTTTAGGCCAACCAGACTCTACATCCTCATATTTTATTCAGCAAAACAGATTTTGAAGTTTGTCATTCTCAGAAAATAAGACTCTTTATGTTCAAACACTCCTTCTAATAATGTGTTCAGTGTATAGAAACACAGTTTAAATTAACATACCTATCCCATTCTAAATATTATTTGGAAAGCAAACAACAAAACATTGCAGGTATTAGCTATTTAGAGATTGGTCATCTTCAGCTTTGAATATGCTTAACAGAATATGCACAAAGTGATAACAAGATTTAAAGCTTTTTTTTCAACATTTATTATAAACACTAGTTTAGTATGTCATGAAAATGACCTGACTTCAAGGTTATCTGCTGTTTGAATGGTTTTCAATATGAAGAAAAGGGCATCCATTTTAAGCAAGAGAAGTTCTAAATTAATTTAGCAAAGCACTTCAACTGCTTTATGGGGAATTTTATCACTATAATTGTAAAAGCATAATAAAAATAAGATAAAAATGTAAAAAAGAAAGTGTGAGGAATGCTATTATAGGGAAGATAAATCATTAAAGTATTTTAAATAGAAAGTTAAAGCATTCAAGCTATGAAAAAAGGAAGAAAGGAAGGAGTGTGAAAGGGAGTTAGGGAGGAAGGAAGGAAAGATGGATGAAAGGAGGGGTTGGAAAAATTTTGTTATTCTTCTTATGAAAATTGCCTGATATGTATTTTTATTTTCAGTTTTGCCATTGTAGACCAAACTACTTTCTTAAGTATCTATAACATATTCTTAAAGACTTTAAATAGTGCCACTAAACACATCTGTATTAATTTCTACAGAACAATTAATTGCCTTATTAAAGACAATATATCTCTATATTGGCAGCTTGAAATGACAAAAATATTAATAAAAAGTAAATATACACAGTGTATTAAATGATACTGTCAAAGACAAAGTCCCATAATTTTAAAGAGTCCTCATAAAACATTATATTTTCCTATAAGTTCAGAAGCAAATTATCAGGTAAGATTCCTTGTCTGTATCCAAATATGGGAGAAACATTTTCTACTCATCTCTTCTTCCCAAATTATTGCTGATGACTGACACTATTTAAATGCCTGCAAATCTATCTTTTTTTTTTTTTTTTTTAAAAAAAAAACACATTTATGAACTAGTGTTCCAAAATTAAAAATCTATCATATCAACTTTTGATGGTTTTCTTGCTCTCTGAATTAGTTTTCGTCCATTATTTAACATTTAAAAAATGTAAAAAGTCCATATCCCCACAGGTATTTTTGGTCCTAAATTTTATGATGGTCATGGTCATATGATATGTTCCTTCCTCAGACATAATTCAATCTGTTTGTGTCCTATTGTTTTACATTGTATGTTGTTTCAGTTCCATTTATTTATTTTTCACATACTCAAATTTGCTTAACTTTCTCTTTCAAACACTGTTCCTTTGTGATGTCTGGTAGCCTTCACATCTTATAAGCTTTCAGAGCTCTTAGTCCATCTAGATCTCAGCTGGAGAGGAAGGTCTTTAAGTTCTGTGCCTACTGACAATATGATCTCTTTCTCCTAAAAGGGATTTGGGGGACATTTTTTCATTTTGAACTTGAGAGAAATCACATTTCACTCCCATTTGCTCTCAGTAGGTTGACTTTCCATGTCACCTTTCTTATATATACCAAATGTAAACATTAAACAAAATTGGAATAGGGGCTGGAGTTGTGGCTCAGTGGTAGAGAGCTTGCCTAGCATGTGTGAGGCCCTGGGTTTGATTCTCAGCACTGCATATAAATAAATAAAGGTCCATTAACAGCTTAAAAAATTGGAATAATTGGCAGATGTAAAACTAGGTATTTTCTTTTGCAAACAACCTTTAAAGTATTAAAAATATTCACTTACAGAATTGAAAAACAACCTGTGTGGATCCTGAAAGGTAAATTTTGTTTCTTTACTTCTCTTGCAGGTATCTTACTGGCTCAGATGAACTGTATTTGTGTTTCCACCATGCCCCTGGAGGTACATCCTACTGTGCTCTTGAACACTTTCTTTGGAGATAATCAAAACTGCATAAGAGAGAATATTTCAAGGTATTGAGAAAAATTTTCACATACAGTCTCATGCTTGGATTAATTTATTTCTCACTTGGGAAAATAAAAGGAAATATTACAAAGTCTAAATGTTGAAGAGATATAAAAAATCAACAAATTTTATTTCAACTAAAGAAAATGAGTCTAAGAGAAATTCACTAACTCATGTTAATCCAAAATGAGCTTTTAAAATATGTATTCTGCTGACCATACAAGCTAAAGTAGTCAAATTTATGTCTACTCTACATTCTGCAATTTCAAAGATATGATAAAAATCAAGGACACATGGAAAAAATGGATGAAACAACATAAATAATATCTTCTTCCATACATGTTCATGTCAGTTTCCCCCAGAATTACTAATTGCACATATATGCACATGTCTGTACAAAATGAGTGCATTTCTGAACTGCAGTGGATTTTAAGAAAAAAATGAACCCTAGTCCTTCATGTTACACTATTCTGGAACAAACTAATACTTTATTTCTTCAAGATCATGAGATATAAAATGCAAGTTAAGACAAGCATAGGAAAATTGTTAATGCTTATGGTTCTACAAATTATACTAAGAAATGACCGTATAAATCAAAATCAATTAATTCTTTCTTAGATACTGTTAAACAAGTCATTTAAAAGTCTAGGCTCTGAGGTAGTTCGCAAATCTCCTCAGTACAACCTCGTGTTGTCTTATTTCTTGTGTTTTATAAAGTAAACAATTTATGTAGAGGGAATAACTGGTGGTCTCTGGAAGTGATCAAACATTTTAAATAGGCAGGTAACCTATATGGACTCAGACTGCCCATTAAATGGCTACTGTTCATTTTAATCTTCCAGATGGCATTTATCCTTTTGTCTTTTTCTTTTATACATGACTGAAATGTAAATTACTTAGATCTGGCTTTTATGCTGTGGAACTCTGTGTAACTTTGTAATTGAAGTTCACAAAGTTAGAACTCAAATTATTCATGAGGTCGTGTTATGTCATTTTAAAACTGTAATGTCTGGCCTAGAGGCGACCTCTGGAAAAAGCAAAGAGAAGCTTCACATTTTCTGTAAAAGTTAATATCACAATCTGCTTAGATGCCCTCTACAAAACTCATGGACCCTGATATTCATTTTCTTCTCTTATGAGAAATTAAAATGGGCTCATGAT